GGGGGCCAGGCCTGGGGGGCCAGGCCTGGGGGGGGCCAGGCCAGGGGGGCCAGGCCAGGGGGGTCACGGGGGCCAGGCCAGGAGGGCCAGAGGCCAGGCCAGGCATCCCAGGCTTGGCGGGAGGGCAGGCCAGAAAATCCAGGCGGGCCAGGGGGGGGCCCACGAAATGCCAGGCCAGGAGGGCAGCCAGGGCGGCCAGGTCTGGGAGGGAGGGGTTCGGGTTTAAGCGGGTTTATGGCTAAGCCTCAATTGAAGCTTTCGCAGAATCCTCGTCGGAGCAGAAAGGCCGCTTAGATGACTCCGGTTTGACCCTTCCATTCCCAAGCCGCACAGTGCCAAGCTAATCCATAGAGCCATGACCGAAGTTCCCCAAAACCGTAAACTCCCAGTTCTAATCCCGGCACCCCTTCAAGAAAAACTCAAGTCACACGACAAACCTCGAAAAACTCGTCGTTCAAACCTAGGCCCTGATAGGAGGTTCGGAATAAAGAGCAAGAGTTTCATGTGACAGCCCCCACTACAGGTATTTGATAGCATAACACAGATCCCTATACCAATGATTGACTATCGACGTCTCTACGTCTACGTCAAACCATAGCAAACTTTCTGTTGGTATAGAGCTTTTAAGCTCTAGACCGTCGTTCAGGTTTCTGGCAATTCCTCGAGGATTTCACTCCCCGAGGCTTCCCGTGACGGCTTTCAGGGCGTTAATGCAGGGGTCGGAATATGTAGTAACAACATCCCTGTCAACTGTAATCACTAAATTTTTATGTACTCCTAACCCCCCCCCCCTTTTAGGGGATCAGGGCATAGGAATTGGAGGGCAGTGTTTAGAGTTGCAGGTTTTTAGGGCAGAGGGCCTGGTGCTTTGGGCTTGAGGTTCAGAGGGCGTAAGGTTTGGATTTCGGGCTTGCTGCTTAATGGAATGAGACTTCAGGATTGGGCTTTTGAGGTCTGGGTTTCAGAATTCAGGCTTTCGTGTGGGTCAGAAGCTATAGTACCCTACCTAGTAGTATACGCCATTGTAAAACCTCCATGACAAAAGCACACGAACATCATTCCCATCAATGTAAAAGTTCAAGCCAAGCTGTGAACCTTAAACCCGAAGCCCTGCAAAGGCGTTGACTTTCGGTGCTCTGATTTCTGCGACGGACCCCGTCACGACCCTGGCGATTTTCGAGCAACTGCATGCCACTGGCCCTGCGTGTAGATGCTTGCGGTGCAAGTTGAGGTTTGCGTTTCGAGGATCTCTGGATACCTAGAATTTCGGTTACGACAGGGTTGCATGTTGCAAGTTTGTGTAGCCTGTGTGATTGCGTTTCTACTGGGTTTCTGTTTTGGCATCGCAAGCCAGGGAGCAACGGCAATTCCTGCAAATACTTGTCCTGGGCACTTTGCAATTTCCACCATACGAACAGAAGACCTCCGGCACCATACCAAGCCTTGCAAGTCCTGCAGAAAGTTACTCCAGTCACACTGTCCGCACCGTGTGAATGCATCCGATGCCAGGTGGACCCTCATCTCTTCAATGTGATCTTTGGCGACTTTGCTGGGAAACCTGCTCGCCCCCCAAGGTCTAAACCTGAAAAAAGGAAACCCTACACCCTGAAATTCCGTCGCCGCTTCAGTGTAAGCGGAAGCAGCAGCGCAGCACCGGCAGCAGTTTCAGCAGGGGGAGTCGAACTAGTAGTAGCAGTAGTTCTCGTGGTCGTAGTAGTAAGTAGTATTAGTAGTGTGTGGTAGTCGTCGTCGTAGTCCCAGTAGCAGCAGAGGAATACGAGCAGCAAGAATAGCAGGAGCACTGGCAGGAGTAGTATGGAGCAGTGGTAATTAGGCATAGTAGCAGCAGCAGCAGCAGCAGCAGCAGCAGCAGCAGCAGCAGTGGCGGTTGCAGTGAGGAGGGGCTGGGAGTAGTCGCAGTAGCAGTAATGGTGGTATAGGGGCAGCGGCAACAGTGATATCTCCTACCTGGTTTTCATGTGGCCAGGTAACGTTGTCATAAGTCCTTTTTGCACCCACAGGTACGATCACCCTGACAGTGGGTTGCAGATTGTATTCAATCACATGAGCAGTTATAACAAAAATGACAGGGAAACAGGATGGGTGACAAGAAAGGAAGAGAGTCGAGTTACAGGAGAAACGCGGCTGTCACATGTTTGATTGCCGTGATCTTACTGATAAGAAGGTTCGTATTGATTCCAACCTGCTTCAGGTGAGAGCGTGCTGAACGATGCCGTCTCCATTGTTCTCTTCCACTCGCCCCTGCAGCTGGCATTCCTGAGCACGTAGGCCTTAGAGTAGACCAAGTGGGTGTGCTCAAAAATTCTGGGACCCTGCTAAGATGGCGCTAAAACTTCGGTCTCAAAGAGAAGAAGCCTTGTCGCACACATTTGCAATTTCTGGTTGTGGCCAGCACTTCTGCAACATGTGATTTTCCAACTGGACGGAACGTTCTCGGATTATAGGATGAATGGTTTCATGCAGGGCTGGTGTGCAGTTGAGGGTGGCGTTCAGGGTTTCGTGTTCAGGAGGTAGGATTCAGGGCGCAGGATTTGTGTGTAGGTATTCGATCAGGGTTCAAAAGGCAGCAGGGTGACGCTGCAGCGTGCATGATGGTGTCTCTTGCGGCTGGGATGCTGTTCGAGCCCAAGGGATGGAAAGCCGGTATTCGCTTGGCTCTCCTGCCAAACCCCTGACCTGAAACCCTCAGCCCACACAACAGAACAGATCCGAAGTCTCGGACCCTAAAGCCTCCAACGCCAATACGAAAAACTGTAAACCCCCCGAGCCCTGTTATAGCATATCAGAATGTTCACTCCATTACAATTTTCCCAAAACGCTCTGGATCTACGAGGCCACCAGTCAGGGAGCCTAGGGCCCTTATTCCCAGAATAACCTTTGCAGAAACGGTATGCCGTTGAAACCTTGAACCACCGGCCCTTTCCGGCCCGGCCCTAGCAATTACGTACGTTACAGCCAAACCAACCATTACCCGACGCTTACTTGATAAGGTTTTCCAAAGCGATCGGGCAGGAGGAGAAGAATGTGGCAGCGAGCGTCCTTAGTCGTTCGGCTACCAATGGTAGGTTACAGGGTGTTTCATGCCTCAGGACAGCAGTGTGTGGGGGGCTGAGAGGAAAGGTTTCTTCTCTTGACTCAGAGCCTACCAAGCCCTAAATCCCCAAACAAAAGTACTAGCCACAGTGATGGCAGAACTGGCAGTAATAGCAAACTACCTATATAATGCCAGAAATGTTGATAATAACGGTAAGAAGACTCACAAACAGCTTTTGCTTTGTCTGGTCGACTAACTCCTCCCCCACAGCAGCTGTTTTTGGGGCTTAGGGTTTTAGAGCGTAGGGTTTAGGGATGTGTAGGGTTTAGGATAGGGGTATGGGCTTTAAGATGTGCCATATAAGCCCAGGACACGAAGCCCAAAGTACGGCGAGTACGCTGTGTCGGGCCCTTCAGGTGACAGCCAAACCGTAGAAATTGAACTTTGAAGCTGACTCCTCAGACCGTAATTAAACGGAACCGGTATGTGTCTTGTGAGGATAGGGTGACCTATTATTTTTTTCAAGGAGCCCCCTTGAAGCTTGAGTCCTCCAAGACTTCTGATTCCCGCAGAAAACTCCAATCACGTCAACTTCTGAATCCTGATCCTCAAAACTTCAAACCGGCCACTAGGCCGTCGACCCCCCGACCCTTACTCGAAGCAGGAATGGTGTGGGATTTCATCGTCATCTTCGTCGGCTCTGCGGTGCTTTGGTCAACAACCAATCGACTGCGCACGGGTCTTCGGAGTGGGCATTGATGCTTCTTGGGGTTCCGGCTTCAGGGTTTCTCCGCTGCAGAAGTACATTGTGGTTCGGTAGGTTGTTGCATGCTACATATTATACAGGCAATACAAGCCCAAATTCATGCAACGGTTTGCTGGGGTACTGGGCTTCAGGTTATCGGAGAATGGCGTGGCATATCAGTGTGCTTCAGGGAATCTGTTTGCTCGCTGAGGTTTCGAACACGGAGACGGGGCTTCAAACCCATTCAAACCCGCAAGCAATCAAAACAGTGTGAAGGGATCGTTGCCCCAGAGGTCATCGGTGCTGGTTTGGGCTGCTTTTCCGCGCTGCTTTTTAAGCCAGGCACCCAGCTTCTGAGGTAGCAGGGCCTGGTGCGTTGCGGGCTTTATATAGATTGCATTCGACAGTTTAGCTTGCAGATCTTCGCGGGGTGTTGTGGCGGATGTAGTCTTGTCGCCAAACGCTTTGAAACCCCAAGGCTACGGGGTCGAACCCCAGGCAGCCGTACACTTTAAACCCGAATTTGATATTTTAAACCTGGAAATTACCTCAGCCCAGGCATGCGGCCTTATCCAGCCACACTGACCTCCATGGCCCAAAGCTGGAGCTGTCGATTTTTCTGGCGAACCCACTGCAAGGAAGGGGTCGACAGATTTCTTCTTTTTTTTGGGGGGTGGGGTCTTTAGATGATGTTCGATTTAGTTTGCCGGCTTTGGTGAGCCTAACTTCCTGACAGGTTGTTTTGGAGGTTTTGATTTTCCATCGAAATAAGACGTTGTAGGGTTGACGGCTCAGGCTGTAGAGCCTTCGCCTTCAGGTTTGGGGCTTCAGGTTTGGGGCTGGGGTTCAGGTGTGGGGCCGGGTGTTGCGGCGAAATGTGTTTCCGGCGTTTAGGTACAGAGAAATCCTACATAAGCCTATTGAGCGCATGACAACGTCAGGCTAGCAGCCCTAAGCCCGATTAATTAATGCCTTCTAGAGGATGAGCATCCTCGATAGTTCGCCCCTTAAAAGCTTGAGAAAAGGCGAGCGTGGGCTTAGCAGCGAGAGCGAAAGACCTGCGGCTTCAACCCTGCATGTCGTTGAGTCGGAAGATGCTCAAAAGAAGTTGCACACTCTTGGGACTCTTCTACAAGGGACAAGCCGAAGCCGGTTGCAGCAAGTTTGAGGTCTTTTGCTACGCCCCCTTCCTCCTAGCCGATGGCCTTGGCCTTAGTGGCATTGTGGCCATCCTCTTCACTGGTCTGGTGATGAAAAGGCCCAGGGTTCAGGGCTTTGGGTTGCAGTCTTGAGATGTGGAGGCTAGAAGAGGTTCGTGTATTCGCTTTCAAGCATGTGGAATGGGTGGATTGAGGGTGCCGGGCCCCGAAGTTTGAGTTTCGCAATATCATCATCGGCAAGAGGAAAATCACAATGCTTTTCCAGTATCGCATTGCCTCAGACAGAAATCCCTTTCTGCTGGTTGCTCTTAACACCTCGCACGCAGGGGCTAATTAAACTTGGGTGGTGTTGAGGTGCTTCGGAGGCTTTGGAGGTTACTAGTACTAGCACTAGTGAAGTTAAAAGTGTAGTAGTAGTAGTAGTAGTAGTAGTAGTAGTAGTAGCAGTAGTAGTAGTAGTAGTAGCAGCAGCAGCAGCAGTAGCAGTGGCAGTAGCAGTAGGGGTAGCAGTCGCAGTCGCAAAGTATCGTTGCTGCTTTTGCGTGCCACCGCCTGCGCCGCCACCACCACGGCCATCACCGTCACCACCACCACCACCACCGCCACTGGTACCGGCACCAGCCTCAGCACCAGCACTAGCACTAGCACCACCAGCACCACCAGCAGCATCAGCATCATTATCATACATCATCACCGTCATCATCATCACCATCATCATCATCGTCATCATCGTCATCATCATCATAATCATAATCATCAGTTTCAACAAACTCAGCATCAACAAGCAGTATAAACAGAGTTTCAAAGTACACAAGCTACACCAACCCATCAACACCAGAACCCAAAAACTACGGAGTGTCAATACCCTCCTTACACTCTCATGCCTTACGCTTCCACCCCAGACCCAAGCGGCCAAGCCACCAGGTACACTTACTTCAATTTGTCGAAGTCGGCTCGCGAGACGGTAGCCACGGTGGTCTCCATGATGGCAAGTTGTGCAGAGCTGCTCGGCTTGTTTTTTTTTTTGTTTCGGCAGGCTGTTCTTTTCCAGATTAGCGCAGCGGTCCCAAACTCCTGTGTCTAGTTTCCCCTCTCATTCTCACTTGCTCGCGTTGTCACTGCCTTTGTCATCATTATGATCTTGCCGACCTGCCCGGCAGGGAATCTAAGTGCTACCAGAGCTGAACTCAGATTTGGATGTCGGAGTGTGGCTATCGAGTGTAGAGTTTAGGTTTACGGGTCAAGGGTTGAGGATTGTGATGATTTTTGCGTGAGTCCCAAAACCCGTTGGAAGTGCAAGGATTTCCAGGTCACATAACGGCCCAAGCTCTGATAAATATTACCAGAAGGCCCCAAAGCTTCAATGCAAAGGACGCTGATCTTCATTGATCTGGGCACCTCTGCCTGGGGCAGCCTGGGGGCCGATCTCACGCTGGGAGCCCCAGAAGATCTTCGGGTTTAGAGAGAGAGAGAGAGAGAGAGAGAGAGACAGAGGGACAGAAAGACAGAGAGACAGACAGAGAGAGAGAGAGAGCGAGCTTCGGGATTTCGGTTGTTTGGGTTTGTGGTTCCACTAGTAGGAATTAGGGATTTCAGGGATCTTGGGCTTAGGTGTTTCGGGGTATAGGTTTGACTGGTTTGGGTATTAGGGTGTGGGGTTTTGGCTTCTGGACTTCAGGATTTGGTGCTCCGGGTCCGGGCTGGGGTGTTCTGGGTGCTTGGGATATCGTCCTAAACCGACAACCTTGATGAACGCTGAGCATCATGGTTGCAGAATCATTTCAGAAGTCCAACCCCTGCATTCTTAAGCTTTGAGTGTAAAGCCCAAGCCTAGAACTTGGTGCAGGTTGTGATGTAGCATTGTGACATTCATTTCCAGGGTTTGGGCCTGGATGTTTTTCCAAGGGTCGTGCTTGAGGTAAAGTTGAATGCCCGGGCTCTGAGTCTTTGGATCTATGGGCGGCCTGAACGACAGAAGTCGTATACTTAGGCCGTGGCTTCCCAAGACCACGACAATTGCAAGCTGCAAGAAGCCTGAAGGAAGTAGGACTGAGCAACCTTCACGGCTCCGACTTGCGCCAAATCGTCTTACCCAACCCCCTAGCTGAATCGCTGGCATCCAAAATCCGTTCAACCCCAAGTCGATCAGGCTCCTGAGCTGGGTACTCTTCGCCTGCCTCGTGGCGCGTGCGGCGAACGTGTACGTGTCGGGCTGGCTACTGAGTCTTGTGCATTTTCTTTGGTCCGTTGGGGGTTGATTTTTGTGTGGGGTTTGTCGTGTTATTGATTTGTTTGTACTTGGCGACACGAAGCACGTTGCCGACGAGGGTGCATGAGGCAAGCAAAGCATCAGTGGGTACACGTGATATGTCAGTTAGAGAGATGCAGTTCTGGTACATGATTACATCACGCAGGGTCGTGCCGTACGTTGTCTTGCATTTAAATGTGGCACTTACTGTTTCTTGGGAGCTTTCTATGAACTCTCCCCACATCCTCCGTGCTGTCCGTAAGGAACTCGCGGGAACCGAGCTATCCACGACGGCGCTTCGAAGCCAATGACATGCACATGGCACCTGGGCTGATTAGAGCTGAGGGATCGCAGGTTGTAGTGTTTAGGGTCGAGTAGTCCATATCTGGGTTGCGGGTTCGGGCCACAAGATGCACTTGACCAGTCCAGCCACGCCGAGACCCTGGCTGTAGGTTTTTTGAGATCAATACATGTAGTCCTAGTTCAGGGTTTGGTGGGTGGTCAACGGTAGAGAGGAACCTGAGCACGGAAAGATTCACAAATTCGCTGGGACTCGATAGTTTCAGAACCCGGGTCTTAACCCGAACCCTTTATGCGGATGAGAAGAGCCCTACAAATGAAGGGTGTTGTAGATTAAGGTAAACACCAAACTCCGAACCGTACACTTACAGCCCATATATATATATATATATTTATATTTATATTTATATATGTATAAGAGCGCGAACCCTCAACCCTAAGAGTCTTTTAAAACCAAAACCCTGAATGTGCCCTTTTGACTCCCGGCGTCGCAGGTGTGGTTCGCCGGTTTGCGGGGTGCCATCGCTTTTGCCCTGTCCACTCAGCTTCCCCGGCTTTCGTTGGGGCTTTAAGTCTTTCGAGTTTCGGCTTGAGGGTCTAGGCGTGCGGGGTTGTCTTTGCTGGTGTTTAGGGATGCTTGAGTTTCGTTAGTATTTGTTGGATTCAGGTTTAGGTTTAGACTTTGGGGCCCAGGCTCACGCCCCCGAGCCTCTATGCCCAGTGCATGCAAGTTCTCGACTTTCGGATCTGTGGTGCCTGCTTGCGGATCCGGGGCTTACGGTCTTAGACCTCTGCAGAACTCCAGTCCCAAAAACTTTGTTATAATTGGTATATCAGCGATTGAACTAAAATCCTACAGTTTGGGCTCTGGTCGTTCACAAGACCTTAAACTTCGCACTGCCCACAAATTCGCCATAGAGCGTGGTGAGTGCACAACTCAAGCTTTGGGGAGCTTTGGGGTGTGAGGTTTTGCGGTTCCGGGGCTCAAGGTTCGCAAGTCCTGCGGAGCATGGCCCCCTCAACCCAGGCACCCCGAGATAAGACTCGAACCCGGTGCACCCTCAACAACCTGAACCCGCGAAGCCGAAATATATCAATGCCTGAACCCGCGAAGCCGAAATATATCAATGCAGGAAATTCCGACAGCAACACACAATAGCGTTGATGAGCAGATTACAACCTGCAAATGCTTCTGAATATACATGAGCAAATACAGAAATGACGAACACTATATATACATGTATGTATGTATGTATGTATGTATGTATGTATGTATGTATGTACGTATGTATGTATGTATCCAGTCGATAGTAAAGCAACCTACATGATAGTAAGCAAATACACTCAAGCGTAATCTAAGGTTCCCGGGTCCCCATCGCCACTGCTTCATGGCTCTGGCAATGTGGGTCGTAGCACGTCTCAAAAAGGGGTGGTAAAGAAGGGTTCGCAGGGGCTTTAGGTGTTTAATTGAGCTTGTAGGGTTTTAACAGGGCTTGAGGCTTATAATGTTTTGGGTTGCAGGGTTTCCACTTTGGGAGTGAGTTTTGCTTCATGGCCCAGGGTTGGGTGTGGCACTTGCGCGCTTTAGGTTTCAGGTTTGATGGCCGGCTGTCGGGTTTCGAAGTCTACTTTTGAAGTAAGGCCTTCTGCCGCGCGTCACTTTGAAGGGGATGCGGGATCTATACGATTATCTAGGTCAGTCACAGGGTGTTCGGTGTCCAAGGTGGAGGGTGTGCGACAAAAGGCTCAAGGCAACGGCTTGAGAGCAGCCTACCTAAATTGGATTTTGGGAGTGGTGTCTGAGGGTGCAAGGTCTCGTGGTTCAGGCTCAGTATTCTCTGCAAGGATTTCCACACTGGGTGAGGGTTGGGTCTCATGGTATCCTTGTTACTCAAGAGCCCTCTAGCGTAAGGAACACGAGTGCGGTGACAGGTACAAGAGTTTTCTTCGAGAGCAGGCTTATAGTATCCTGGCGCACGTTTGTGCCCTACGGGCTGCTGTGGTGGGTATGCGGTTTGAGGAACCCGGAAGCCTATAAACCCCTATAGACTTTAACCTCCTAAGTGCCAGGCCGTAAACCCTAAAGCTCCTAGACTCCCGAACCCCAGTCGTCTTCGACACTGCAAAGTTCCGTGAAGTCCTGCAGCAACCCACAAGCCGCTGAAGTCCGTCCTCTTTGGGGTTGAGGGGGGCGGGGGCGGGTCGGGTGGGTCGGGATTTCGGGTGCCATTGGAGACCGTCGGTAAGCATCCACCTCGCATTCACCTCAAGCCTTTTTATACGCCTTCAACCCGGAAACCCACAGTCCAAGCTTTTGTCTCCAGTTCAACAGATGCCCTGGGCTCTGCACCTTCGACCGAAAGTTGAAGCAACCCTCTGCAAGGTTTAACATCCCGCACGCCTCGGGCCACCAAAGACCTCTACCAAGGAAGGGTCCGAAACTTCGAACATCCTTAACCAAAACGATCTTAACCTCTAAGTCCTCTAATGGGGAATTAGCTTATCACCAAAAGCCCTGAATCTAAGCCCAGAGGTGCTTACCTCGGTCTGGCTGCTGGGGGGAGCCACAGCGCCTGTGCTTGGGGCGCTGAGGATCCGCCGATGCCCGGGCCATGGTCATAAGGATTTAAGGCTGTGCATCTGAGGCTTTAAGCGTTCGTTAAGGTTTAGGGCTTATTTAGTCTAGCCAGACATGCTGGGGCCTAGACGACAGCATGTCAAAGTCCCAACCGTTCTAAAAGGTCCCTAAACTGACCTGTGTCATACCGCAAGACAGACAATGCATCAGAGGTCATGGCGATCAGCTGAAACAGCTTGCGCTCACACTGGAACCGGCCGGGGCTGGGAACGATCACCGGGAGCTTTGGAGTTAGGGATTAGTGTTCAGGCTTTCAAGTGTTGGTCAATGGCTTGGCATCTGCATATACATTAGAGGGCCTTCAGCTGAAGGAACCCTCATTTCGACTGAAAATTCCATGGAAGCTTCTAGGCTTATGTTGAGCCTTTCGGATTACATCTTCAACAAAGTTTTACCTCGCAAGCGACAAGTCTTCGGAACTGTGCACGCTTGTCGTTTTGCCCTTGAGCATGGAAGTAAACACAACAATAGAAAAGTTATATGTGGATAAATATATGCACAGTACAGGAAGATCTTTCTTACATATATTTATGTATATCTATATATATATATATATGTATGTATATAAAAGATATGTGTTGCTGTACTGTGTATCTATCTATCTATCTATCTATCTGTATGTATGTCTATCTATCTAACTATCTATCTATCTAACTATCTATGTATCTATCTATCTATCTATCTATTTATTTATATATTTATATACATCTATACATCTATACATCTATCTATCTATCTATCTATCTATCTATCTATCTTTGTATCCTAGCTATCCTATCCATCCTATCTATCCATCTGTCTTTGTTTCTAGCCTATCCATCCTATCTACCCCCCCCCCCCACCTATCTATCAATCTATCCATCTATCTATCTATCTGGCTATCTCGCTCTCTCTCCCTCTCTCTCTGTTTCTGTGTCTCTCTATCTCTCTTTGCTCTCCCTCTCTCTCTCTCTCTTTCTCTGTCGGTCTACATATCGGTTTATCCATACATAACTATATGTTTGTCTATCTGTCTGTTGATCTATCTGTCTACCTATCTATCTTTCTTTATTTCTGTTTTTAGTTCGTTCTTTATTTCGGTCTTTGTTTGTTTATCTCTATAGTTGTCTCTACCCATCAGTGTCCGTATCTGTGTCGATATCTCTATAACTGTGTGTTTTCTGATCCGACGATCTCGGTATATGTGTGCAGTTGTCTTCAATTCTACGGCTTTTCATCGTATTGGTAAAGTGTCTCTGGATGGCGAGTTCCTGCTTGGGACTTCGCCCTGACGATGCTAGTGGCAGTCGAAGATGCCCTTCCAACACATCCTTCAAAAAGTACAGGGATTAGGGTTTCAAGTCTAGGGCTTGGGCGGACGGCCGTTACGCAGGCCGTGAAACGCTTGGCGCACCTTGGCGACAATTCAGCCAGTTTCCGGGTAGTTCAACTCAGAATTAGCATCACCAACCCCCAACTGCAGACACCCTATAGGCCCTACAGAAAAGAACTTTAAGGTCAGGGCGTATTGCGACTTGACTCGACCTGGCGACCTAGCGTTTTCCGAAGAGGCAGCCAAGGCAGGTTGAGGATCCATGGCAGAAGGAAGGCTTTTTCACACACACAAGCCTTCGGTCTGTGACATGCTGGCTTCTGCCGATCATGGCCTATAAGCCAGCCACGTCCCCTTTTTTGTGAGCCATCAGGACTACACATCAATGTGTTGAGCGCCTGTTTCAGCACGTTTGTAAACCCAAGGCCCACGTGCAGATAAGTACAGCATAACTCGTGCAGGGCGGAAACCCGAGTTGGAGACCCTGGGTCGTTAACCCAGGGTTTTCCTACGGACGCGCGATCCTTGAAGAATTCCTTGACACCTTGGTTGTGTAGTTTAATAATTCGGGGTGTTGCGGTTCAGAGCTTTGGGCATTATGGTTCAGTCAAGTGCGATTCTGGTTACCAGCTAGTTTCCAGCCTTGCAGGGTCATGCTTGGGGTTCTATTCAAGACTTCTAGACTTTAGATTCGAGCACTGAGGTTTGTGCAGCTCGACAGGCAGTACATCACCCCGCTATTGCTGCGCAACGACTCAGAGCTGCAGGCTTCAATGCCTTTGGGTCTCAGGGCTTCGGTTTTTTTAAACTTAAGGTCTTGGCTTTGAGGGTTTTAAGGTTCAGAGGTTCAGGGCTTAGGAGTTCCGTTGACTTCAACCATTCTTGGAATCAGACAGCCGTGAGAGCGCAGCAGCCTAGATTGATCAGTTACCAGGACACCGTGAACTTACAGAGGTGGCACTACCCGTCGTTAGTCATCGATTAAATCTTGGTGTTTGTGAAGAGCCTCCGAAGCACCAAACCCTGACTCCCGCATAGCTCTATATACGCACGAAGAAGAGGGCCCGACAAAAAGCAAATAAAACAGCTCTAGCAAAACCAAAGATCTCTTTCGGCTCCATGCTACGGGTCCTCGACGCTCCGAAGCCAGATCTCCAGACAAGCCGAAATGGTCATAACATTTCAAGCTCGTAGAGGTAGTGATAGTATTAGCCAGTGAGAAGAAGGCTGGGCTCTAAGACCCGAAAGCAAGCTTTGGAGCCGTTTAGGTCTGGGGTTTGGGTGCCCATTCTCCCCCCGTCAAACCGGAGAAAAGTTGAGGGTGTAAGGTCCATGGCTTGACTATGGCATAGTCAGGTCTTGTCCTTCACTGTAACCCTCCACTTGCATTGGGCATATCCCGATGTCGTCAGCGTAAGGAATCCTCTAGGACTGTCGATTCGCGGACCGAAACAAGGCACCGAAGCATATCAACGCAAGAGACCCATGCCGAGGAGCGCGGCGAGTTCTCCCCTGTGGCCGGGCGTGCTGATACAGAGCTAGCTGGGAGCTGAGCCAAAATTACATTGCAGGGGAGGATGGGCCTCGACAGCATCTACCATCTCGTAGACGGGCCTCGAAGCATTTAAGTGTCTCAACGGGCGCAAGCATCTAAACGCACGTCAGCGCATGAATCCAACGTAGCATGCAGAAAGCGCCCATTACGGGCGCTTCGAGGCCTGTTTGGAGGCTTAGAGGTTGGGTGGCTCACATGAATTTTGGCCGGGCTTAGCGATGTTCAACGCGAAGATCGACTTCGAGGCTTGGACTTCTGTAGGCGCGCTCGGGTGATTTAAAGTGTTTAGGGCTTGGGGTGCTATACGAGCACGATTATAAGGGTTGTACAAGGGTACTTGGATAGGGTACTACATGCACCCTTCAAAGCTTTCATTAGTCTTTTGATCGTCACAAGTGTCAATGTTGTGTTGCCACTCCGAAGCGACTGTAAAATCGCTGCTATTTGGGATACCACATACCAACCACCAGAGCCCAAGCACTCAACGAACGATCGTCTGTAACTTCAACGTGCCGAACCTGAGGTTTTTCTGAACAAGCTTGACCGATCTTATGCAAGCTAGCAACTCAGAATTGGAGCCCGTGCCTATGGCTTCAACAATACCGATATGTAACCCAGCAACCCACACTTGCAGCGTCTTGCAGCCCTTGGCTAGACCCAGGGTCTCTGGGCCCCTCCCCACAGTTGCAACTCAACCGCAGAATCTCAATCCATGCCGCTCGCTACGTCCCAGGCCGAATCGGCCATGTCGGAGATGTCTGGGAGGGGGGAGGATGCCAGAAGCCCAGCGTATCTTGGCTCGGGAGATGATAGGTCTTGGAGCTTTTGCGGCCAAAAATGGCGAAAGTAGCTTGCACTTGAGTTCAGGGTTCAGGATCTCAAGGTTTAGTTTTGAAGTGTTTCAAGGTTTTGGGGGTTCACGATTCGGGGATTCGAGTTTCGAAACCTCAAAGCCTAAGCAGAAGCACTGATACCCCAGAGCCCTGAGCCTTAATCCGCACTTCGGGCGTCCTGGGAGGATCCGCCAACCTCCTTCGACCGACACCGATGTTGAAGGCCGGCGAAATGCAGAAGGGGTTACACGTTTCAATCTCTACCTTGAGAGGGTCCAGTTTAATATATATATATATATATACATATATATATATATATATGTGTGTGTGTGTGTGTATGTACAGACATACATACATACATGTATATGTCAAGGTTTATGTGAGGATTGCATAAAAGGCTGCAGCTTGAGGTAGGTTATGCCTGTAGTCTATATAACTATAGCAACCAGAAGCTCTCGATCCTAAGCGCCCTGCACACCAGACCAGATGCCTTGTCGTTGGCGCATGACCAGCGCCTTTTGGGGTCTGGAGAGTGAAGAGGCAAATTGAGCCTGGCCCAGCGGTAGACGGGCAAGTTCAAACGGAATGCACCGCATAAATTCTATGTTTGGCCCAGGAACAGGAAGTGTGACTGGGTTTCAGGTTCGAGACGACTACCCTATGAACCTTGCCCCCGAAACCCACAACTTTCGAGCAAAGATTCGTTTTCCAAACCTACAACTGGGCCTACAAGCCCTCAAACTCAAGCTCTCTACTAAACCTGAACTCAACATCCCAAGCCTGTGAGATTGCTACTTCAAAGTGACCTCGTCATCGGGAAATTGAAAGCCTCAAACCCAAGCCCCGACAAGAAACCCTGAAGCAGTCACCCTGGGTTTATAGGTAAAAACGCCCGAACCCCCAAAGCCTCTTGCAGCTCCAGCAAGTCCCAACCCTCGACTTGTGTCTATGGAATACTGCAGAGCAGAAGTGAAAATGTTGGAAGCTGCTTACCTAAATCCGTAGTATGTTGAACCCAAACAAAGGCCTAACAGGTACAGAGGTCTGAATTGTTCGTCACGATAATCTTACCTTTATAGCCCCTCTCAGACTATGCCATTGTGCATCCCATAGCCCTGGTCTAGTTCATGGTTTAGGCCCCGTGGGTGGCACCTTGAATAGAAGCTCTCTTCCAAGCGCTCAGCCTAAATGGAGATCCCTGGTCAAGAGCCTTATTTCTGTTGAGGCCTTACTATTGGGATGCCTACTTTCATTCTTCTGATGGGACGAGGGGTGCTATTCAGTGTTCCACACTACATCGATTCCCCAAACCCAACCCGAAGCATATAACCTAAACCCAACCCGGCACCCCCAAACGGAAAACCTCCACGTAGGTGCCGGTGCGGCGCCAGCCCCATCGCCTTTGCACTCCTCGCCGCTTCTGACTTCCCCGGCCGAAGATGCGGAGTAATTCGTCCATGCGCTCGGGCTCGGGGATTAGGCGATATGAGGGCCTTCTAGGGTTTAATATATAAAGACTGTACTCTATGCAGGGAAAGCTCTGCAGGGAGAAGCACCTTAATGGGAAGCCACGTTCAGAACAAACCCCCGGCCCAGCATGCTTGCCGCTGTGCGCCGAGAGTCGAAAGAAGCTGTCCTTGAGATCTCATGGCTAAGGCTTCAGATTCACGATTCGGGGTTGCAGATTTAGGCTTTGCTAACCTCAGCCCATGGCTTTTAAGGGCTAATTACACGGTTCTGAAGCTTTGGGTGGGGGTTGAGTTTCGGGTATCGGAGTTTGATGCTCAGGGCAAGCAGTCGAGGAAGAGTAGAATCCGCAGAAGTCAGTGTGTACACTTCGCAGACGGTTGGTGGTTGAACGATGCAAGAATTACTAGTAGGGGTTTGAAGTTAATGAAGTTGTTCCCACAACAGCGTGGTACCCACTAGTATGTGTTTTCTCAGTTGATTTTTGGAACCCGTATCGTTCTCGGTTCGATTAAGACCCTCCGCCTGCTGTGGGCACGGGAGAGAGCTCGCCACGGAATAGCCCGACATGCCGCTCATACCGAAATATGCACTCGAGTTCCCGGTTATGAAGACCTGGCCCTAAAGCCGCAACGACCCCGCACCAACAAGCTGCTTCGAAATCTAGCCAGTTTGAGTTCAGGGCATGGGGTTTTGGGCTTCGGAACTAGGAAACTTGAAGGCTTTTGCTGGGTGCAGATGTAAGATTGAGGGTTGAGGACTCATCGAGATTATACGGCTTTCGAAGTTGAGGGCAGATGGCCTCTATAGGGTGAAAGTGCAGTGCTGAAGGTTGAAAGCTGAGGTTGCGGGGTTGAGCGCTTAAGGTTGAAAGAATACTTACCGCGTTTACGCGCAAGTCTTAGACACACATACACACACCCGAGCACAAATCACTGCCTTTGGGCTCTGCATCGAAAAGCATGGGCAGAGGGTCTAGGGCTTGAGAGCCCAATGGGACGCTGAAGCAGAAACCCTGAGCCCGGGAAATAGATCGTTGGCAACCCCTATACTTGCGAAAGTCTTTGTGGGTTCCATTCAAGGATGTATGATTTGAGGGTTGTGTCCCAAAAGTTGGTGTTACTCCAAGCCTCGTGCTTTCAGACCTCAAGGCACGCTGGGCAGTCCTATCCTCCCCACCAAAAAGCTGTAAATACCCGACAAACAAAAAGAGACACCTTGGCACTCGATAGGCGCCGACACGGCAGCGTGCGGGGCTTCGGTACCTCGCTCAACAAAGCGTACAGGTTTGGAGCGTTCGGATTAGCTTCTGGATCTGGGCTTCCCATGCGCAGACCTCTCAGGCCCCCAATCGTTGGGAGGTCTATTGCAACAAGCCTTACGCCCAAAACCTGAAAGTTGCTGAAACCCTGGTCCGAAACCCTAAACCCTTAAGCACTTGGCCCTGCGCTTACAGTCCAAAGTGCATCGTCATGATTCCCGCGACAATGCTGGCAGCCCTAGCTAATCCAGGGCTCCAGGAGTAGTTGTATCGGTTTCAGTTGTTGCAACATTGTTTTCGAAGCGCAATTGTCACGGTGAGTTCACATGAAAACTGTAGTCCCTGGTGTTATTCCAAAAATACCTGTCCGCCCATCGGCAGCACTCGGCTCCGGATTCCAGCCGCAGCTCCAAACCGAAAAGCCTTATCAACCGAGATGCAGAACCATTCTAAGCCAAATGCCCAAGCTGGAACATCCCATTTCTGAACCCCACAGCCCAAACCCTCAAGCCCTGAGCCCAAAAAACCCACAGCCCTGAACCCGAAAATGCAAAAACATGAAACCCCAAAGTCCTAGGGGCTGCCAACCCGAAATCCAATGTTCAGCGGGAGGGAGGGGGTGGGGGGGGCGGCCGGCCTGCTCCGGTGCAGGGGGGTGGGTTAGTGGGGCGAAACCGGGAATATGTGTGACAACCTCTGCCGGAGCTGTTGAGCTTGAGTGGCCCAGGTGCGATGGGCGTCGTCAACAACGAGCCGCAAGCCTAGCTGGCACATGCTGGCACGGCTGTACCTTGAGCTCTCATATGCAGAAGATCACAAGATATAGGCTGTTGGGAGATCTATCACAAGGCAGATCAGGTTTACCCCGGTTGTGTCGCAAATTCAGGGACCCTACTGTAGGGCCCAAACATCAAAAAGGCAGCCTCGATAGCTCAACAAATTGAGGCCGAAATGCAGGCATCACGGCAATGCAAGCCGTCAGCACGTCTTGCTTGTTGAACCAGAAGCCGTAGCCCTTGAGGGAATCGGTGCCAACGAGTCTTGAAGTTAGGTCTTTTGGGGTAAGCCCCAGCCCCAATCCCTACTCTGAAGCCCCCAAGCCCCCAACCTCAAGCCCTCAACCCTGAAACCCCAAATTGAGCCGTTTAACGTTTCGTGGTAGGACTTTGAGAGGACTGATTCCTTTTCGGAGTGTCGGAGATGAGGGTTCGGAGTATTTCCACCCCCCCTCCCAACAGTAACAGCCATCCACTAAACCGGGTGCCGACGGAAGAGATTCCGAGCTTCGGTTGGGGTCTAAGGTTTGGCTCGCGGGTGTTCAGAATGTTATTTTGCCGTCGCTTATAAGTGTCTGCATGTTTACAGAAGGTCGTGATGGGACATCATGAACTACATATGTAGATTATACTTATTATAACGAAGCGTACAGTAAGAGTATTATTGATCAGCGAGGCTGTTGTGCGAGGCACCCCCGACATGCTGTATTGAAAAGAAGCCAAATCCGCGTCCTTCGCATGACTCAAGCCATTGAAAGCTGATCGACGGGTTGGGGAGGGGATTCCCAAGCTTGATTTTTGCCCCGGACACAAGCCAACTTGACAGAAGTTGGCAGAACCTGAAGGCCAAGCCTTGGTTGCAGATGATGTCCCTCAGCGGTAAACACTTGCGTTGACTTGCGTTCTGTTGTGACCTTAGCTGGCAGTGTGGTGTGTATACGGGTATTGCCGTGTCGATGAGTCTGCACGTATGCCTAGCCTAAGGGGTAAAGGTTCATACGCCATCTGGTAACGAAGTACGTACACGAACGAATGGCGACGCGCTGTAATAGCAGCAGCCGGGCCCTGTTCTTCGACGATTCCGGTCGCTGGTGGCCATTTGGAGTTATTCAGAGCTTCCGCTTTAGCCTCCACCGATACAAACAGCGGCCTGTCGGTTTAGCGGCTGTCTGATCGGCTTATCGCCTTGTTTTGTGGTTGATCGGCTTATCGGCTGCCGCCCAGAGGGGACCAAAAACCATTAGCATCTCCGGTGGCCTTACAACCCGGATTTTCGCGGCAGTTTCGCCATGTACATATCATTCTAGACTGGGTGTTTCTTCGGATTCTGGGACGTGGCTGCCATTTAAGAGAATACCAAATCAACTAGTTATGTTCCCCTATGTTCTGGACCAGCACGACCACAAGCGCGTTCTCGCCACAGTCCCGCGTGTTTGTTCGGCATGGCATACTGAAACCTCTGCTGTTAGCCGAAGCTTCGAAGTAGGAGTGCGTCATCATGACCAGACAGCGCCTTTTGTATATGGCCCGAGCTTGGTTTGGTTTGGCAACATCTTCCATTAAAGGGTGCTGAGGTTCGGATTCAACGATGTATTGCGTATTCAGACAGCCGAAACGGGACCAGACGTTCGGACATGAGTTGGTCGTCGCTGGACTTCCGACTTTGTGGCGCTGTCGCCCAAGCTGAGACCTTGTATGAACCGTAATGCCATAGAACCTCCCAAGGTCAGTGACCATTTAGGTGACGGCCCATCGCCGCAAGTCCTGTTGCAGCCCCAAAAATCCACGCAATAGGATTTGCGGCTACAATGTCTGAACCCTGAAATCTTGTCTGAAGGACACAATCGCTGATTGCTTATTATGATGAAGGCCAAGCATTCCAGGCGACCCACGGAACAGTGAGATGAAGAGACTCCTTTGCAACCTGAATCACACACTCCTCCCCCGCTAGCACAAGCTCCCCCACCATTCCAACCATTTACCACTGGATCAACCCTGGGCCCAAAGGTCACCAAGACCCTCCGGAGGCTGCAGCTCCCGTCGACCAGCTGTCGAAGGAGGCCCTACTGCAAGAGGGCATTGCGAACTTCAACGTGCTGGCTTCCCAGGTTGTCCTGGGCGGCCTCACCTCCCAGGAACAACTTTGGCAGACCAGGGTGGATGCCTTCCGCAAGGTGCCACGGCTGTTCTCTCCCATCACTGCCGTCCAAACCCCAAAAAGCTTGCTTGGGACGTGGCCATGACAATGAGGCAGGTCCTCACCAGGACAAGTCACGATCGCCACGGGACAAGGCGCGGACTACGAGGAGCTCCAGACTCCCACCAAGGTGCATGGTCTGATTGGTGCTTTATTCCAGAAAATGTGGGAACACAAGGACTTCAAGCACTATGCCGAGATTGGTATAAATACGATCTCATTGCTTCCACGGTGGTCACGCTCTACAACCACGATCAACCACGCAGCTATGTCGGCCGGCCTCTGCACTCGCATGATCAGACGCCAGAGTCCACATGTGGGCCTCCGGATAGTCCATGACGCTGCTGCCCCGTCCAGACTTGAGATGATTGGCGATCGTCAAAAGTGGGCCAGACAATTCTGGGCTTCTCAGCAAAACAGCAAGCGCGGTAAGGAGGCCGCGTCTTCTGCCAAAGATCCACGTCAGGACGATGCCTTACCAAGACTGGGAAGAGGAGGATGATTGGGACTGGGACTCCTGGGATTTTAACCAAACCCTACAACCGCGGTTGCAACTGCGACCAAGACGAAGATGAGCATGTGCAGTGCAGTGGTCCCATCAGCGCGGCTACAACTACAAGCGCTGAACACATGGCACAGCCTCCGGCTTCACAGGCACAGCCTGATGATTCAAGTCCAGGGGTTTCCCAGCTGGACACAGAATTGGCGATGACTCTTGCTGCTCTAGCGGCCTAGACGCTGATGACGGC